TTTGCTTTGATTCGAAAGTTTACGGATATCCGGAATTTTCGGATCGAATCGAAACGAATAACGAATCAAATCAAATATAACGGATAAAATGCCCAGCCCTAGTACTGCTGTGGTTTATATATATAGGACATGTTTTCCTGTGAAAAGATGGAGAAAGACCAGAAGAAAGCTCATTTAAAACATGAGTTGAAGTATACAGGTATTTAACAATTTCACTAAAATATTTAGGACAATTTTCTTACCGCACGTTTTTTTTTCTGTTGAAAAGCATTCTTTTTTTTTCCTTGAGAAATAAAAGCTTCAAAATATGATTTCTCTTCCCATAATGTATTTTGAATTGTGACAAANAAAGCTCATTTAAAACATGAGTTGAAGTATACAGGTATTTAACAATTTCACTAAAATATTTAGGACAATTTTCTTACCGCACGTTTTTTTTTCTGTTGAAAAGCATTCTTTTTTTTTCCTTGAGAAATAAAAGCTTCAAAATATGATTTCTCTTCCCATAATGTATTTTGAATTGTGACAAAGTGCAAGTTGGAACATTCAGCCGTACAGTTTTTTTTTTCTTGGTTATCATCCATAACTTAAATCGATATATTAAAACAAAATTACTAATAGGATTATATCCTTGATTATTTGAGTTATTTACAATAACATGCCATTACTATTTAAATTGTTATTAATAATTAAAATTAACCAGATTTCTCCTTTGTTTTCTCTTCATTTAATTAATTAAGCTTCCTTTTTATTAGTTTAATCAAATTTGGAAACATATATTTAGTACAAAACGTGGACCATCATATTATAATATCATTACAAAACATGAACTAAATCATCTTTACCTTTATAATTATATTTAGATCCAAAATATGAATTATCTATTATATACATAATATGTTAAGATTAATTATAGGTTCAGCCGAAGAATCTAAACTCCAAACACACAAAACCTTAATCATATTGTTTTTTATTTAAAAAATTTTTATATCTATATTATTAAAACAAAATCATTTATAAGATTATGCCGATTTGGTCTCGGTTGTTAAGATATTTAAATTTTGGATCTGTTTGAATATTTTTCAGTACGGATTTAAAACCACTTAATTAACAAAATGTAAACCTCATTTTCGTTAGGATCCTCCTTATAGAAAAAACAAATTAGACATTATAATAAATTTGGTTCAATCATTAACTACTATATATTTAATTTTAAAAATAATTACTAAAAACAAAACATTAAGCTATAACCCTACCAAAGAGGCTAAAAATTAATTTCAAACATCAAGATACAAAATTTTTCAGTTAAATACTTCATATTCAAAATATTTCATGTAAATGGTAATTTAAATATACATTCATTTGAATAATATTTTTTCTCCAAAAACACAATCCCACATTTTTAAAGAGCGGATAAAAATCTAATAGTACTTATAAAAATAATAATCTAATTTCAGCATTAATTATATCCAAAGAACCCGTCTCGCTCTCTTGTAAATTTCTCTATATTTTTATATGTTCTAAGTTCTATCCAAAAATATAAACCAATACTTTCCAATAAAGAAAACTTGAATTATTTGTGTAATTTGGAAAAGAAAATATTATGCGCATCGACAGAGAAAAACAAGCTTTAATTTATATTTGGTGGCGCTTCTTGTCACATACTCACATGCAGAAGTGGTAAGCCTTTATTCGATAATCAAATAGATGTGGTCAGTACCGGTCCTGACATGATAAAGACCAGAAGCAATTTTCTAAAAATTGGCTATTTTTTATAAGAACGCTTATATACTATAGTAATAATTTTCTTATAAAAAAGCTGATTTTTTCACTTATTATTTGAGGGCCGGAAGCGGTTGCTTGTAATGCTTCCCCTCAGGGCCGGTACTGGATGTGGTGGTCGTAATAAGTCACAAAACTTATTACTTTCAAAAATTTAACTGAAAATATCTTTAAATGTGCGTAAATCAAGATATGTAGGGCCAAAAGTGGCGCTTCAAATCAGGAGTTTCATACCACACATTGAAATATAATCATGTTCAAGATTCAGTCAGATTCGAGTTTATCATCAAGCCATTGACATATTGTTGTTCTTTTATCAACCACTGAGACTCCAGTTAATATGGGCAGACTTTTATCAATCGAGCTGATCATCAAATGTTATGGATTAAAGTTGATTAAAAATCTTACAAATCCTAATGAGAATTCAAAAGAGTGAGTCATTTTAGACCAAAGAGTAGACTCAATCAATAAGACAATAATGTTATATTAAACTTCTATTTCATTTAAAATTTCTTCTTAGATAAAACTAACAGCTTCTGTTGGATATTGCATAAACAGAAACGATTATCTGGTGAAAGTTAAGTATTATGGTGAGATCCTAAAGTACATATCATAAGAGATTTGATCGATTGTATATCTAATTATACTCCTAAAGTCATATATGAAATTAATAGTTATTATAGCAAAAGTGCTCGCATAATTGGCATCTTTTTCAATGCAAATAATTTCATCTTGCAATCTTTGTCACTATGATAATCATATCAAGTAGTACTCGAATGCTTTGTTAGTTTCTTTTTGTTTTCTCCCGTCGTATATTCCATCTTCGTGGCCTTTCTATAAAGAACAACTATCGACAATGAAGACTTGTCTTCTTCTTTTTTTTTTCTGGGCTCATGGGTGAGTAACTTCATTTCTTATTTTATTTATACGCATTTTTTAACTATTGGTGGCACTATTATTTCACCTCGTAGGTTGGTTACAGTTTAAGACATTCCTTTTTATAGCAAGTGTTTTTTTCCAGTCAAAATATTTACATTGCAAAGTAACTATTTGTCAGTTTTAAAAATGAACTACATCTAGACCCGCACAACCGTTCGAGTATATTAATACAAAAATATTTGAAATATAATTTGATTATGTAAACTATCCAATTTTATAATAATGTTTATGTGGTTTATAATATTATTAATATAAAATTTATAAATTTGCATTTTTGTAACAATTTTTTAAAAACATCATTACCACAACATTACTAATTTATATTTTGTTTATTTCTAAATTTAAAATATATGTAAAAATTAAATTAAGTTGGACCTACGTAATGCATAAACAAAATTTTGGGATATTATTAAAAGTATTTTACATAATTTTAATTTTTTTGTTTATAAATAAAAAAGGAATTAAAATTTTAATTATATTTTATGATATTTAATATTTTAATCAAATAATTTGTGAAACTATATCTTGAAAAAATTATAAAAGATTTTTAAAAGATTTTGAAAGAATTTTCTTTTAAACTATTTATTTGCATTTCAAATAAAAATTAAAAATATGAAAAAATATTATAATGATGTTATGTAAAATTTTATAAAATTTCTAAGGATGGTACAAACTAAAAAAAATCATACATGAAGTGAATCATGACTTATCTTTTAATATAATAGATGCATCACTATAGACATGTGATAAATAGTACATTGATTTTTCAAAAAGGCGCACTATATGTCAAGTACTATCAGAAACGGATACGCCAAAGCGGGTACGCGAAAGCAGGTATGCAAAAATGTAGAAACAATATTTTTTTTTAAAAAAAATTAGAAAGCGGATATGTGTTGAAACGTATATTATATATATATAATTTATGGTTAAAAAATTATATGATTCCAATTTAAAATAAAACATTTATTCATATTAAAACGTTAAACATACAAATACAATAAGTTTATAAGAAATTATAATATTAAATATTTTTAATATTTCATAAGTAATAGATACAATATATTTGAGTATATGCTATATCTCCAATAAAAAAAAACTCAATGCATAAAGATAATTTATAGTATTAGTTTTAATATTTGTATATTTCTATTCTTTCTATTTCATTACTACTAAAGTTTGAAATTCTATAAAAAGGATAATATGAGTTTATATTGTTTTTACCTTGTATTTTTTTTTAAACGGAATCGTGATTCCAAAATAGAATCGTAAACTTCAAACGTGTTTTTATAGAGAATATTTTAGAAATAATTTAGAAACAGGATTTCATAATCTTCTATGAGGTTTTGATTCCAATTCTGATTTTGAAGTGGGAAGTAAATGTCTTATGAACTTCCTTACAACCTGATGAATCATAACAATAGTTGTTGTAACAAAGAAAAAAAAATGAAAACGAATAATATGATCAAAGTTTTATTCATGTCCCAAGGAAACAAGGGCCAAGACCATTTCTACCCTGAGTTTCGAACTCTGTATCATTTAAGTATCAAAGTCTTGAGTTCTTTTTTCATGCGACCATAAACTTACATAGGATGAGTTTGAAAGGGGCATTGACGGTCAATCATGAGATGATGTTGTGGCTTCCTACAAGCCCACCTTTGTTGACACTTTCCTCTCTTTGAATGGTCTTTTCGTACATTGATTTTATATGCCACAGAATCTTAGTGTCCCTCATAGTCACATATCCTGTTATGCATTGTCTACGCATGATAAATGAGTAGCAAACTAATACAAATCATCGAGTTATAATTGACCTTTTTCTCTCCTCTCTTTGAATGGTTAGTTTTTAGTGCATTATTGATTTAATCAGGTACAGAATCTTAGTGACATTCACAGTTACATATCTGTTATACATTGCCCTAACATGATAAATGAGTAGCAAAGCACCCGGCGACCCAACCCTGGTTTTTGCCGGTTTAGATTTGGTTTGTAGAGCAATCTGTGGTTAACCGACAAAGACATAGTAAGAGAAACGGGTTTCTCGGGCTATGCATGGTTCTTCTAGTCCTTTAATTTGTTTTCTTCTCGTAAAATTTCCCTAGTTTCATTGAAAGGAACATCACCAAGTTTGCAGACAACGTTGGCATTTGCAAGCATGACAGTGCTACAAAACTTTTCAACAGTTTTTTTGTTAGAGCTATAACATAGAAAAAGGTATATAGCCTAAGCTCGTCTTGTGCTTTTAAAGGGTCTTAATTAAGACTGTCATTTCATAGCACCAGCTAAAACTGGTCGAATTGCAGTTTTGAAGTCCTCAATAAACTGTTGTTCAGAGAACCTAGACGCTCGTTTTCTAGCAGATGCACCCATCTGATTGCTTCAGCATATTCCTCCACAGTCTTAGCAAGAAACCTGATTCGTTGTCCGTCTTCTTGTAACACGATCTTCATTTTAGGTCCGCCGAGAGTTATGAGCTGCACCACAGGTAAAAAAAGAAACAGAGGAGTCTTTAGAACAAATAAGAGTAGCTTCACGTAAACAAGCCTTAAGTCAGACCAAGTGGGATGTCACTAGCAGCCATATACTCAACAACACTAATACCAAAGTGTTCATCTATCATCCCATGCATTCCCTGGCAGTGCCACAGGTTTCCTGCAATAAAAAGCCCATAGGATAAGAACCACGGAAGCTCTGAGTATTACAAGACACAAGACACCTGTACATGGCGTTATAGAGCTCCACATCACCGTCCACTTTGAGCTCAACGGCTCTGTCTTTCAACTTCCCACAAACTGTAGTTTGGGTCGAGGAGGGGCGTTGGCATCTAACTTCTCTAAGGCTAGTGAAAAGGCCTCAAGCTGAAGCATATGAGTCTGGTACAAGACTGTAATTGAGTAAACATGACAACTCTTTTTGTAACTTTGAAAATGTGAGCCAATCAAAACTAGTGTAGCTTATTCTCATTAACTCCCTCCTCACCTTCTCAGGACGAAACTATCTTGCACGTAGATAACCAATTGCTACCAACAAAATAATGAACCTCATTAGGGCTTAAAGGTTTGTAACCAACCAAACAAGCATGGAGAAAGCAAGCAAACCTCTTGGCGACTGAAACGTCGTTGTTATACATGGAGTTTCTTTGACTGACACGAGAGATCATATCCAAACTAATTGTAGGGTTTAGAGTATACCAAAAGACTTTGCAACCAAAGAGACGAGCAAGAGGGTAAGTGAAAGCGTATCCACTAGTTGATAAATACTACCAAATAGTTAAGTGTTTTATCACATACGCAAGCTTAATTTTACAAATATTTATACTTAAATATTGTAAAAATACTTAGTAATTCCAATATTATGAAAATTAATTATTTTTCGTTTAAAATATTTAATAGAAGATTAAGCTTATATATACAAAAAAATTATCATAACATAAATACATTGTATTACATAAAATAAACTTGAAGACACTCATATATACATAAAATTATATATAAAAATATATATAGAGAAATTTATCTTATGATGTAAAATTATTTATTAAATCACTGAAATTCATTTTTAATTTATGGTTAATTATATTTTAACTAATTTAATTATTTATTAAGGTTAATAAAATTTTTATAACAAAATATAAAAATTAGATAATGATAATTATCAAATTATTAAAATTATTTTTTACTTATATATTACAAAACTAATTATTCATTATGCGTAATAATGATATTAACCAGTTTAACTTTTAACGTGGGATTAAATGTGAAAAATCACTAACAAATGATAGTATAGATTAGTGTTTATCTAATATAATGGTTAAATATTTTTTCTTGTATAAGAATATAAATAATACATCTATTTTCGTGAAATATTATAAAGTGCATTGAACAATGGAATGCTCATCATCCAAAAAGAATGAGAAAAAACATGGGTTGTTGGAGGTGATTAGTTACATTGTTACTAATGATTTTAGCTGTATTTTCTATCTACAACTATATAAATTAGCAATCATGTTTTGATTAATTTCTTAAGATAAAGTAAAAAAACCTGACTTCACTCACTCACTCGCCCAAATGATGCTTTCATGTTTCACAACCCATTACTTGTGGAGTCACTTCCCCTCAAATGTGAATTCTTCCATGTTACCGGCTACTTCCAGAACTCCCATGGAAAAGAACGAGCTCTGATATATCCCCGTCTTGCCCACAATACCAAACGGTTCACCGTGTTTAAGCAATCAAATTCGGAGATGAGCTACACGGAAGCCATTGGTGATCTCTGCATCTTTGTTAGTAAGAATGAAGCTTTCTGTCTCTCATCCAGTATGTACCCGGACCTTAGACCTAACTCTATCTACTTTGTTTCCCTCGTGTCCGGCCCTAATGCCAGGTGTTTACGACATTGCCACTGGCACCATCCACCTTTTCCTTTGGACGGCTTCCAACCCCCGAGTTTCTTGTTTGCTCTCATGGTGTAATCTTATTTTATTTTTATGTTTTACCTTGCTTGGTAGTTAATGGAGCTAGAAATACCTACTATGAGATTTTTAAATATTTTTATTATTTGTGATTTGCTATATTTTATATTTAATCCATAAACTTAGAGATATCCAGATTTTCTAGATTGAATCAAAATGGTTAATACTTTGAAACAAATTTCATGGGTATTTTTTCAATCCCTATGTAATGCACAAATAAAACACAATATAAAGAATGATAAAACACAATATCTAAAAGGTGTTATTGAAATACTACCAAGGTGAGATCTCAAACTCTCAAGTAAATGAATTTGTAAACTTCTCATTTATACACTGTTGATACTAAACCCTTCTGATTCAACTTATTTGAGATAACCACAATGGAGACATTGTTGTCTTGGCAAAGCACTGGAACCATCTCAAGCAACTCTTCAGCATGTCTTCCGTGAAGATAGTATCCCAACCTTAAGATCATCTTCTCTAATGTCACTGCGGTTTTAAGCATAAGTTTTATGAATGAAACCACATGCTTTGGCTCAACATCCCAATTCAAAATGTTCGGAAAGACCCTCGCTTCCTTCCTCCAGCGTTGATCCGAATTCATCAAGCCATGCACATCCAACAAGTCGTCAAGAGACTTCCCCTGTTAACAGAAAAATATTTTCAGTTGTGCAAACATGTGAAAGGATATGCGTCCAGAATTCTTCAAACTCGCCAATAGAATGCAAAAATAATAAGAGATGCTTATGGAAAATATACCAGTAGGGTGCCATTAACGAGCTTTGGTTGCACGGTTAGCTTTGTCAACAAATGTGAGTTTTGTAGCACCCTTACTAAGCCAGGAATTACATCTTGAGAGATCGTTGTCTCAAGTGTCAAATCTTTGACTTTGAAGCTCGGAAAAGGAAGATGGTAGAGCTCCGCAACAGATAATATCTTTAACAGATAAGATGGTACATAGTAAATACCAAAACAAAAATATATCAAGAAGAAAGTATCATGTACTTTATTTTTTAATGGAATCTAAGCGATTTCATAGTGTGAATGTGTCACGTACTTTATTGAAAATGAAAACTTAAAATGAGTACTAGCCATTAGAGTATGCATGAATGTGTACCTTAAGAAGGTTAGGCCCAAAGGTAAGTGTCTCTACATTCTGCAACATACCAACCATCTCTTGTATAATGACTTGAGGAAAACCATCCGTCAGTATTTCATTTGACTGAACGCTAACCTCTAGAGTAGCTTCGGTTAAAGAAGAGACATCAACTAAAGTACATAGATACACGATGCTTGTCAATCTGAGACAACGGATATGTGGTGCTACAATCTGCGTTCCCGGAACCCTAATGGTTGCTTCCAATGTTCTCAAACTTAGAGATTTGCTAAGATCAATAACCTTCAGGTCAACTGAAACTTCCAAAATTAAGGTTTCGAGAATCGGACAACCAGACAGAATCTTAGCCATGCATTCCTCAGAAAAATTGCTACAAAACAATGATAGTTTCTTCAGGGATGTCCAATAAACTGAACTTATAGGAACATTCATATCAGGTATGTTGACTAACGAAAGTGTGAGTTGTTTGATAGTGGAACTGAAGTACAAGAACTCAGGTATGTTATAATTATATGAACGTATATCCAGCCACATATTCTCCACATTCTTTAACATGGCGAACTCTATCGACCTGTTAATGTCAGGAGACTTGATGTGGTAACCGGCATAGAGATGAAAACTCGTCATCTTGGGAGCCTTGAAGAGAGCTAGGGTTCTGTCTATCGAATCAGCCTTAAAGTCATGCCTGGTCAAAATGAGGTGGAGAGAAGGTGTACCAGACCATACATGCCTCCAACGTTTGGACAAGGTGGAAGTCTTGATGGCAGTTGCGGTTTGAAGAGAAGAGAGGATGTGTTGGAGGATCTCATCGGGCAGAGAGCTGATGGAGTCTACGCCGTCTCCATCTCGGCCCTTGTTCGCCATCTCAATTTACCAAATGATGACAATATCTTGGATGGTATTTTTTTAGGGTTTTAGTATGAAACAGCTTTTAGTTTTTTTTTTTTTTTTTCTACTTTAGTCCTGAGTTTCCATTCACGAATCTTAGTACGAAATTTTGGCCCAAAATATTGGGTAACGACAAGGGAAATTGGGTTGTACAGCCTTAAAAATATTATAATTAACTGAATAATTCTTTAATCTAATACTAGATTTTGACCCGCGCTTAAGAAGCGCGGATATTATTTTTCTTAACCGTAAAGTCAGATATTTCAAAATAGATAGATGGGTTTTGATGGTGTTTTTGAATTTGGTTGAGTTGATAGTAAAAGGGGTCCAAGATAGCTTGTATTTATGAAAAGAGAGGGTTGTTGTTAATTTAGGTTAAGAGAAGATATCAAAGAATATTTTGTAATCAATTTAGATTTTCCAAAATCATGGTAGAAAATATAAGTAGGTACAGTTTAGAATTTTTTTTGGTTGATATATTTAAGGTAAATTAAATAGTTGACCGTAGTAAATTTAACTTGTAGATGAAATAATTTAGATTTTGATCCACGCTTCTTATATTTTTATTGACCGTAAATTCAAATATATAATGAATTTATGTCTATTATTAGATATCTATAATATTTAATATTTGTTCTATTATTTTATTTCAGTCTTGTAAACATTAATAAAACGAATATGGTAAAAGTATCTTAAAATCAAAACATTGTTATTAATCCATTGAGAAGCGTGGTTTCTATTTTTCGATTATGCACAAATGGGTACTTAATTTTTAAAAAAGTTTAAAAATCTAACGGAGTTAAATTAAGCCAAATTTCATAAATAATCGATCATATCATATATCTCTAGAATCTAAAAATAGAAATCGAACCGAGAACCAAATAGGTACTTAACTTTTTATATATAAATTGTATACCTACAAATATCAATTATATATAATATCTAAATACTAAATAACCTAAAATAATATTTTTAAACAAAATTAGACAAATCAATGAATTACTTGAATATTTTTCTTAAAAATATTCAACCTATCTGATATTTAAATCGTAGGCTAGTTTACATTTGAAATTAAATAAAAATATATCATGTAAAATAAATAAACATATCTTATTTAAATCAAATTTTGACCAATTTTGTTTGAATCTCGATCTTATAATATTTAGACCCATTTAATTTTTATATATCATTAAATTAATCATTTAGTTCTTGTATAAGAATATAATATCAAAATTTAATAATTGATTGCATATAATTAATTAAACCAAAGTGTAGTAGTTATAGTGTCATGAATATTTATTGTTAGAGAAATTTTATAATAGATTATGAAAAGTAATAAATGAGTTTATTTAAACTGTAAAGTATTTACAAAGTTAGAGAAATATAAGGGAATACCAAAGAATGTTAGTCTAATGAAAGGGTTCAAACAACTTTTTTAAGTAGATTTATTTAAATCCCTTCTCTTTTAATAGTATAGATGCTAGGATACACCGTATATTTTCTATAATAATACCTCTATACCCTCACAAGCAACCGGCTTAGACCTGAGAGATTTAGAAAAATAAAAATACCTTTTTACCGTTTACTCATTTATGTCGTGGCCTCTTCATCTTCAACCAAACGTTAAAGGTTACTTTTAGTAATCGATTTCAGATCTGTGGAGCACATCGACGCCAACCACTTTGTTCATATTGAAGGGTTTCAGTAGATTCAGAAGCGGCGTAATCTGAAATCTACTCACTACAAGAAAAATGGGTTTTAATAGCATACCAGAATAGCGTTTTTTACGATTATGCTATGTTTTTGATACCCGTGTCTTAAACATAGCGTTTGCCTTTTACGAGACGCTATGTTA